TGGACTTCCCAGTCCCCAGGACTATGATGAATAAATGTTTGTTGTTTGTAAGCCACCCAACTTATGGCTTTTTGGGGGGGTACTTTTTTTTTTTCTATAGCAGCCGAAACAAACTAAGGCAGCAGATGGATAAAAATGTGGGCCTAGGGACTTAAATCCCAGCTCCCCTACTAAGTACTGTGTGACTTTGGGCAAGCAGTTTCCTCATATTCTGAACCTGGACCATGATGTAACGTAGGCGCCTACTGAACACAGTGGTTGTGAGGAGAACTTGAAAAGGTATGGTCATAAAGTGGAGTACCACGCAGCTGTGGACAAAAAGAAGATAAAGATCTAGAGGAACTGCTGTGGAGTGATCTCAAAGATATATTATGGATGAAAATACAAACGGGAAAATGTTATATACAGCTGGCTCCTATTTGAGTAGGAAAATACAGTTCTAGATTTTTATTTGCAGATACTTAACATTTCCAGAAGGTTCTAAACACAAAACTAATTGGATTCCTCTAGGAAAGTACATGTTCATTGGGGGATGTCTTGATTAGTATTTTGTATTGTGGTCTCTATTTTTATTTCATTATGTGATATATTAATATTTATAAGGAAAAGTTTTCAGTTTCAAAACAAAGAGTGAAATATACAAATATGCTTCTGTCCCAAATGAAGCTATTCTTTTGCAGTTGAGGAGACATCCTTTTAGTACCTGGTTGAGTCTCACCTTGACCCTAATCTTTCTGACCATATCCTTAAGGTCTTAGCTTTATGGACCTGAGTGTCCTGCACTAGGTTCTCACCCGTGTTTCCAAGCCTCATTCCATGGCCAAGATCACTCCCTGGCCAAGCAGAGAACATGCACCCAGTTACAACCCAAGGAGACAGTGGAGAGCCAGAAAGATCCCACACTGGCCCTTGGCTGAAGGCATGTGAGACGTTCACTGAATAGTCTGGGAGAAGTGGTCTTTGCTTCACACTCAACATGTAGGAGCTTAGCTTAGTCACCAGTGCTGAAACTCCACCTCCAGCGTATATTTCTCTCCCTTTCTTATGTAAACGAACCCCAAATGGAGAAAATTCTATCATTTTAAGCTATTTTATGGGGCTATGTATTCTCTTCAAGCATTGGGTTGCACACACAGTTTGTCATTTTCCAGCAGTGCTCATTTGATTTATCAGAGATGATGCTTGGTAATTCAGTTTGATATTGTTCCCTGTATCCAGTGATAAACACTTGAGAGAAACCAGGAAATCTATTTTTTATATTAAATAATAACACTGGCCCTTTCATTATCCTTGCAGAATTGCAAATCAACCTTGCTCTCTCAGCTAAGAGAGAGGAACTAAGATTTGTTCAGTGTTGACTCCTACATAATTATGTTATTCAGTGTTAAATATAATAGAACTTTGTTTTACAGAACCAGGAGGGGGCAGTAAATTTCCTTTTTTTACTGTTATTAAAAAATGAATTCCCATGCTTTATGTGTAGCAAGATCTCACCCAGAACAGTTCTCTAGAACTTGACCAGGTTTTCCCCCACCGAGGGAAATTTTGGGGGCTTCATGATAGTCCTGCTTTCTGTAGTTTCTGTTTTCTTCCATTAGATCTTAATTCATGACCTTTCCAATTACTTCCTGTAAATGGACAAAACCAAATTCTGCACTTGCAAAAAAAGACCCCCCCCCCTTTGTAAATGAGGTGGAATTATGACTTGTCTTAGGGCTGGTCTTGCTGTTCCTGTTCATAAGTAGGTGAAGATGGACTGGCAGCAGACAAACTGACATCAAATTATAATGGTTTGGGGTGCCTGGGTGGCTCAGTGGGTTAAGCCTCTGCCTTCAGCTCAGGTCATGATCCCAGGGTCCTGGGATCGAGCCCCGCATCGGGCTCTCTGCTCAGCAGGGAGCCTGCTTCCTCCTCTCTCTCTCTGCCTGCTTCTCTGCCTACTTGTGATCTCTGTCTGTCAAATAAATAAAATCTTTAAAAAAATAAAATGAAATAAAACAAACAGCCACTTCCCTTGTCATATTCTACTGCCTCAGCAAATGCTGTGATTTCGAACACGTGTGCGTGCCCAGAGACCAAGGTGAGTGACGCATCTGTGGATTGGAACCTTGAACATGCAGGCCTGCTTTCCTTTTCTTTTTCTGTGGTTGCTTCCTCCTTCAACTTACATATTTGAATACTGTTAACTTATGTAATTGCTATGTTCCCTACCCGGGTACCTAATATATCTGGCTAGTTTTAAGGAACACCACGTTTTCTGTGGGATGATTTGGGGGTGGTTTGGGAATTATTATTGGCTGTGCTATAAATGTCTGGGAAGAGAAATAGAGGACACTCCCAGGACATAGTTAACACCTCCTAATGGCACAGCCTGTGCGCCACCCGGGGAAATAACGGCATACAGTAAAAATTCATCATCACTTTTAAGTATTTGGATATATGGATATATATTTTATTTTTTTATTTGATTATTTATTATAAAAACATATACATATAAATACATATACACATATGTACATGAGGGCAGGCACACACACACACACACACACACACGTGCAGATTTGTGAGGGCAAATCACAAACCATAAGTCACAATTCCACAGAAGAAAGGGGTCAGACTCTTTTTTTTCCTCCAGTTCCGACAACCCCAAAGTGCAGATTGGACATTTCTGGGCATTTCTAAAGGATATTTTCTTAAGGATCCAAGTTCTCATTAGTCTTCATTTTACAGTTGTTGCTTTTTTTCATTTTTCCCTTGCTTCCACCTACACCAGATGAAGCACAAGGCAAAAATTAGATTATACACAAATTGTACACTGATTTATTAGCCTGAGCCAGGACTTTAATGAGGGGAAAGGAAACAGTATAAATAGCTCCTGGGGGATCTGTTTGAGTAGAATTCCACAACAATGCCGAGTTTCAGTATGAATTTGGGTTGGGGTGTTCTCTGTCCTCCAAGGGGGTGATGAGGAGTATGTCCACGTAGACACCCCCCGCAGGCACACTTACCAAATAGGCTGACATGCAGGGGGACCTGCATGAAGTACCTTGTTCATTTCAGTAGCATCCATCCCATTTTTGTGCTCACAGGCATTCAGTCATCAGTGTTCCATTGTATTTTACTTTGTTTCCCTGTTCTTCCTGCTAGGGTACAGCAGAGGCCATTCTCGTAGTGTAGTATATACCCGATTCCATTCTGCAATCCTACAGTCTATTTTGGAATCTCAGCTGCACCACTTAGGCACTTAGAGATGGGGGAGAAAGGAAATTCTTTTAGATTCCTCTGGCTTCCTTATCTGTAAAATGGGGACATCTGCAATATGTCTGCCTACATCAGTTTCTTTTGAGACTTATATGAGTTAATGAGGTCAGGCTCTTATCATAGGACCAGCCATATAGTAAATACACAACAAATGTCTAACATTGTGTTGTTTATTATTATTATTGTTTTACTATTTTTCTCATTCCCTTTCATTATGTGTTTGGCAAATTTCTTCAAGATGTACCAGTTCCTACAGTTGCTGTATCATCTGAAGGGACGCTTCTGCAAGACGGCTTTGGTGTAGTGTACATGCCTTTAAGCAATATTCAGCTTGGGGAAATACAAGGTTGCAGTTTACTCATCAAATAACTAAAAACATAACTTGAGCAAATTTCTCTCTTGTGTAAACAGCTAAAATCCAATGTCTTGTTCTTTCTCTGTCCTTATAGAGGAAGCAAGATTCCTTGAGCCCAACTGTATTTTGAATGTTTCATAACCTTGAGAATTGTTCATCTCTATGAAGTAATCCCTTTTATTACATAATATAAAGGGAAGATAAAGTTGTTAATTCTCAGTGCATCTGAAGTGGTGACATGCAGCAAACAGCTCATTATCCCCCACACAAAGCACAATTACTCAATATAGGGAAATGCTGCTCTCAGACACTGCCTTATATTTGAGCTTCCCCATGCTGGCTAATGTCGGATATTGATTCTTAATAATTTGAACAGCAATAAAATTGGGTTTTCATGACAGTCAATCAGACGCATTTTATATTTAATGCTCAATGGAAGAAACACAGTGTCTCCTTACCTTCTGAATTTCAAAGCCATTAAAGTAATTGTAGGTCATTAAGCTAAATTTCTCTGCATAATCGGGATAGTTAATCTAATTCATGTACCATTCAAAATAGAGAAGGACTGACAAAATTTTAGTTAATGTGACATCTGTGTGTATATATATGTAGATATATCATAGATGTATACACACATATCACATGTGTAAATACACATCATATTTGTATATATACATCATGTATGGATATCGTATATACACATCATGTGTGTATATACATATGTACATATATATAACATTAACTGAATTTATATATACATATGTATACATGTATACATATGTATATATAAATTTTATATATACACGTGTGTGTATATACACACATAGGTATGTACGCAAGTACACACACACATACACACAAATACTCTGAGTCAAAGGAGGGCCACTTTATCAGCACCCATTGCATTTAACACAATCAACAAATCATATGGGGCTGAGTTTAAATAATTTATTTGATCCTGTTTTTTAGGTAACCGCAAGGCCCTCATATATGAGTAGCTTCTGTTGAAATGGAAATACTATAGTAAGGGGCTTAGTTTATATGATCATTCTGATCTCTTCTTTCTTAGCAATCATTGCACAATAGAATTGCCTAAAATATTATATATATATAACGTATATATATAAAATATATATATAAAATATATACACACACACATATGTATGTATGTATATATGACATGTAACTGTTTCCCCAATATATATCAATATATATGTTAGGCGTCACCAAGCCCCAGAGGTTCTGATTTAATTAGTCAAAGATTAGGGTCTTAGCATCAGGGTTTTTGAAAATGCCCCATTTGATTTTATTGTACAGTGTGGTGTGACACCCATAGTGAATCTAATTTACTCACTCATTTCTTCAGAAATTGTTTCTCAAGCACCTGCCCTGTTCTGCAATTCTACAGGCATCCTGATGGCTAATGAGATGCGCAAGGTAGTCTCCATGAGCCTTTAAAGGAATCCAACAGAAAATTTTAAAATGCAAATCTGGACCCATAGAAACCAAGACAGTGTCTCTCTATAGCTGCCTGTACGGGCTAATAATTCTGCCTCCAGGAGTACAATCAAAACCTAGAGTAGAAAATGTTTCCGACGGATTCCTGGCTGTCTGTAGAACTTGTTTCCTTCTGCTCTAAGTTAATATCTGTAGAACTTTGTATTTGTTTGTCAGAAGGTAATTTAGATATGAGAACTCAAGTCTACCTACTTGCAAGTTAGATTGTAAAGTCGTCTTCTGTGTTAACTTAGGTCAAACCAGATTTGTTTCTGGTTCTGTGGAAGAGCTGATACTTCTAATGGTTAAGTGCTGAAGTACTCATAAGACAAATGAGGTTTGGGAGAAACCTGTTGAGAACAGAGAATGACTCCTGATGAGGTCCTCCTAAAACTTGTACAGAGTGCCTCACTTTAAGAAGAGAGAATGGCTCATCAAAACTTGAGGTCTTAGTGTGTTGACAAGTGCTTTGACTTCTTCAACATTTTCCTCCAGGAAATAATTTGGAGGGTTTAGAAATAACCATGGGGATAATCTTGATGCTCTTTAGAAATGCCTGGGCTGTATGTTAAAAACACATTTCTCGGGGCGCCTGGGTGGCTCAGTGGGTTAAGCCGCTGCCTTCGGCTCGGGTCATGATCTCAGGGTCCTGGGATCGAGCCCCGCATCGGGCTCTCTGCTCAGCAGGGAGCCTGCTTCCTCCTCTCTCTCTGCCTGCCTCTCTGCCTGCTTGTGATCTCTCTCTGTCAAGTGAATAAATAAATTCTTTAAAAAAACAAAAACAAAAAAAAAAACAAACACATTTCTCCACCTCTGCCATCCCTGCTTGCTTTGATTTAAGTATTTGCTTCCCTGAAAGAAGCCAAAATAATTATAACTCTTTTCCTATCTGGAGAGGAGGAGGGGGCATGGGAACAAAGCCTGAAAAAATGTAAAGGCTTTATATGGGGAGATGGTAGAATTGTTCACCAGTGCACTTAACTCTCAAGGACAGGGAGATTCATCTCATCATATGGGTGACAAGAATTCATTTGATTTTACTTGTGTCAATTTTAGAACATGAAGTATATCATACAGTAAGCAGTAAATATGTGGGATTCATATATATAGCTCCGAAAAGGGGCTTAGATTCAGGGATGATAGTGATGTCATTGGTTAATAAGGAGAATGGTCATTTTGTGGCACATCTTCACTAATCATTAAGTGAGGATGTTTACATGAAATGCCACTCTCCTGTAGCCCCAGACCATTTTCAGGGTCATCATGAGAGATAATAAGACCAAAATGGCTTTTCAGTGGATTGCAGATTCATGCCATTTATTAGGAGTTTCTGGCACCTGGCTAAGGAGCAGAACCATAAATAGACTTTCTTCAAGATGCTTAGACCCCAGCCTATCTTCCTGAATCAGAATTCCCAGGTACAGGGTCTGGGTATTTCTATCTTTATAGGCTCCACGTGAACCCCATTATGATCCACAAACCCGTATTTAAGAACCACTGGCTTTAGTTGAAATCTTTTATTTTCTAGATTGGGGGGGGGGGGTTATATCTTGCAACCCAAATCAGAAACCAGATTCTGGATTCCTATTACAGGAATATCCTTTGTCTTTCAAAAACTGATTATATCCTTCCTTTGGAAAGCCTGAATTAGAGAATGGTATGGTGAGGCTGCTGAGGAATTTAGAGTTGCTAAGGGAGGTAAGTTTACAGGGAAGAAAGAAGTCCCAGGCTCTAGAGGAAAAATGCCTAACTCTCATGTGAAATGATGGGATAGACGAGGAAATAGAGTCCAGTCTAACTAAGGAGATCTGGAAATATTGTGATAAGTGTGGACAGATACTGATCATTATGGACTGTTGATGTCCAGTGCATGCCTACACTTTAGGAGCAGAATATCAGTGACCCCAAATCTCATCTGTTGCAGAATGCTGCTCCCCTGTCTACCCATCCTCTGGGCTTGTCCTTTCTCTGACCTTCTGTAGACTTCGAGTTTCCAGGGTGTCTCTCTGACTGAGGGCTCTTATCAGAATTGTGGGAAGTTGCTTGGTTTGTGAACAGAGGAGACCAGAACTGTGGGGGATTTAATACCCCAGGGAACAGTCTTTAGCTAATGACTCTTATGAGTTAGTGTGTAAATACCCCTGCTCCCTGGCCTCCTGTGCGGGATGACGTTGAGCCACATGTTTTGCTGGTTTCCTCACAGGATCAACCCATTGTTGTTGCTGGCATCCTGGTGGACCCTTTAGTAAAGGGTGTCTTTTCTTTTCTGTACACTTTCCTTCTTCCCCTACTGGGTTCCCTGTGCTCCCAAATAAACAACTTGCTCTCAAATCCCTGGCTCATTGTTTCTGGGGGAATCCAAGGGAACTGAGTATCTTGTGTGTCCCTGTGTTTTCTTTCACAATCCGTAAAAACCTGACATAAAGGAGTAATGTAGGAGGTTAGCCCAGCCTACTAACACTAATTTGAATCAAAAGGGACATATTTGGGGGCACCTGGGTGGCTCAGTCATTAGGCATCTGCCTTCAGCTTGGGTCATGGTCCCGGGGTCCTGGGTTCGAGCCCCATGTCGGGCTCCTTCCTTGGCGGGGAGCCTTCTTCTCCCTCTCCCCCTCCTCCTGCCTTTGTTCCCTCTCTCACTGTGTCTCTCTCTGTCAAATAAATAAATAAAATCTTTTAAAAAAATGGGGGACATTTTTAAAGGATCCAAGAGAATTTCAGGGAACCCAGTTGTGAGCAGTCAAGCTAGGAAACTAGAAATCTACCCCTTTGTTCTCCTTTTTTCCCCTTCTCCTTCACCTTCTCTTCACTTCAACTTCTGCATGGCCTCCGCTACTCTTCCCTGTGCACATCCAAACCTCATCTCTCTGACTGACTCACTTTCCCTGCTTCCTCCTAGTTTCCGCTTCTCTACAGCCATAGCTGGTGCATACCTGGGTAAGAGTGGTACCAAACTGGTCAAGAATCCACAATGCAGTGACACCCGTGGCATTCAGTGTCTCTGAACCCTGGGCCCCAGGTCAAATTCTCAGGGGAGAGAGAAAGCCTCTGATGGAGTCAGCGCGCCTTCCTAAGAATGTGCTGCCCCAAGGCTTCTGACCTCCTTGGGCCAGTCAGTGGCACTGCACCCGCACTGGGGTCCGTGGTCAAGGAGAGTGGGGTCACCTGGCTCATTGAATGGCTCTTCCAGGGAAATGGCGTGGGATGTTAAGCTAGATGAGATTTGGTGTGACAGGCCGTTGCTCTTCATCCTGAAGAGGCAAATTTCCACCATCATCTGGCAAATTATCCACATTCACTGGTGTGGTGTGCAAGGCAGTAGAAGGGCAGCAGCATTGTAGGGAAGAACAAGGTGAATGCTTAGCATTTATATGGAATGTTGACATCCTCCGTTGCCTAAAGCACATAAGCCTGATTTATGCTGTGGGAGAACAAGTACATTCTATCATTGCAGCCGTATGTGCGTGCTGAATGCCTGTATTTTTAAAGAGTAAATAATTCGTGGTTTCTCTCTCTCTCTCTCTCTCTTTTTTTTAACCTTAGGCAGCCATTACTTAAACTTTCCAAAACAAGTTCATATCTTAAGGTCTGTCGATCTATGTGTTGTTCTATGTTACGATCAATGATGAAAATACCAATTTGCGTATAAAGTCGAGGCTAATTTTACACATTTTAAATGGGATCACAAATTATTGGCACTTTTAAAATTTTAAAAATGGTTAATCTTTTTTTTATTTTTTTAAATTTTTTAAAGATTTTTATTTATTTATTTGACAGACAGAGATCACAAGTAGGCAGAGAGGCAGGCAGAGAGAGAGAGGAGGAAGCAGGCTCCCTGCTGAGCAGAGAGCCCGATGCGGGGCTCGATCCCAGGACCCTGGGATCATGACCTGAGCCGAAGGCAGAGGCTTTAACCCACTGAGCCATCCAGGCGCCCCTCTTTTTTTTTTTTTTAAAGTTAACTTATTAAGAGATGCCAACATGGGGCACCTGGGTGGTTCAGTGGGTTAAAGAGATGCCAACGTGTAGGTCTCCCTTTGACATACAGGACACCAAAAAAAAAAAAAAGAAAAAAAAGAAATTCATAAATATCAGTAACCCTGAAATACGTGCAAATATAAAAATGAGAATAATGAACAACCAACACGGTACCTCTTCTATGTTATTAGAAAGTGGGCTTTTAACTGTGCATTTGTTCACAGGTGCCAGAGCCAGGCGAACTTTGTTTTTGAAATGTGGCATTCAGTGTAATGGGAAAAGACCTATGCCTTAAGCATGTGTAGAGTCCTCCCACATGAGGGAGGCACTTCCTGCTTCATACAGCCCACGTATCAGAGCAGAGAGCGCGTCTGTCAGTGGCAGCCACTGAGTGTTATAACCTCCCGAAAACTAAATAAAGAAGGTTTCATTGTGGGCTTTCTTAGGGCAACAGAAGAATTTGCTAAGTCAGGCTACTCAAATATTTTTGTAATGAACCATTTAATAATTAATATGTAGGACATATAAATGGTGGTTATAGCCTATAGCAGTTAAAATCCCGAGTTCTTTTAGGAAGAGAAAATACTCCGTATGATACTGTACTGATGGACACGTGTCATTAAACATTTGTCCGAACCCATAGGATATGTAACCCTAACATGAAACCCTAAGTGAAAACTGTGGACGTTGGGTGATGATGGGTCAGTGTAGGCCCATCAGCTGTAATAAATGTACCAGTCTGGTGTGGGGTGTCCATAGTGGGGGAGGCATATATGGGGGCAGGGGATAAATGGGAAATTTCTGTACATTCTTCTTAATTTTGCTGTGAACCTAAAACTGCCCCCCAAAAAAGTCTTAAAATAACCCCTCAATAAACAATCAATTAATTAATCAAAACAAACAAACAAACAAACAAACAAACAAACCCAAGTTCTAGAATCTGACAGAGATAACCCCATCGCTGAGACTTGCTGGTAGACAGAAACGTAGAGTCTCATTTCAGAGCTGATGTTTGGCCAGGAGTCAGGACTAGTGTCTGTTCTGACCGGTGTGGTGCCATGCGATGTGGATAATGGTTATCAAATAGTCTGGATAGCATCTTTGCCCAAAGGCTTGCTATAAAGCTCAAGTCTGTCTGAGAGTTTGTGGGGTTCAGGGCTCAGTCCTAAGCACCTAAGCATCTTACCTTCCTTCTTCTAGTGCATGTTTACATTTCTTCTTGCCATAGTTGGAGCACTTCCACACAGTCTGCCTGAATGTGAGGTCCCAGTCTTACTATTATATTGCATGGACTTCTACCAGAATTACACAGAGTTTAACAGCTGTATTTCAACTCTTTCTGTGCTTCGGATCCTGGCCCACATCCATGCAGGTTGACCATTGTGTGAAGTCTGACCCCTCCGCTCAACTCTCATTGAATGTCTATAAATGCCCTTTGTTGAGCACAGAGTGTGTAAGGGTTTGTATAGATGTATTTGCTTTGTTCAAGAGGATGAAAAGAATATCCTCTGGGCTGAGTTTTGAATTCACAAAATTGCTAATCATTGATCATAACAGCTTGAATTTACTGAACATTTGGATGATGTAGCCAGTTCCCTTACGTTGGATTATCTCATTTAATTCTCATGGTAAACCTGAGGTGAAGGTATTCATACCCAAACATTACAGATGAGGACTTGGGTATGGGACGTTAAGTAGTTTATTCAAATTGCCCCAAAGAATAAATGCACTAACTGGGAGTTTAATCCAAGTCAATCTGGAGATTGTGCTCTTTTCTGCTATTCTAAATAAAGAAGTAAACCTGCCTGGGATGATGTCTCTATTACTCAGATATTTTTTCTGGTATAGCTCCTCTTCTCTCCATTACAGATACCTTCCTTGCAAGGAAGAGTCTACTGGTGGCACCTCAATACTGTTTTTCATCTTTCTCTTCCTTTTCTTCCTCCCACTTTCTTCCTTTGCTCCTATCTTCCTGTGCTCCAATCTAAGTTCCACTTAAAAACATGGAAAACATTTCTTACAAACTATGGACACATAAAATGGAAGAAAAGAAGAGTAATTTTTCAGTAGTTTTGATGGCTTGTGAGTTATTAAGAAGTGTTTTAAGAATAAAATTGGTGATTTATTGCTAGATGCAATTAATGAACATGGTCTCTAACGGGACAGGAGGCATATGGTTCATAGTGAAAAGAATGTGGGCGTGGGAGTTAAATAAACCTGAGCTCCACAATGAACTCAGCCATTCACTAACCGGGTAGACTGGGGAAGTTGGTTAAACTCTTGCACCTACTGTTCAAGGCTTTTTTTTTTTTTTTTTTTTAAGTATTGGAAAGTTATAGATAGGTCATTCTTAATGCAGTACCCATTAGAAAGTGAGTCTTCAGAAATAGTCATTATTTAACAGCCATTTATTCAGAGCCCTCTGTGTGGCAGCTCCTGTTCATCATTTAACTATTTCTTACCCCTCTGGGGTTGCATTTGCCCCAGAAGCTCAAGCCTGGGTATGAGAAGACCTTAAAGGAGTCCACTGTAAAAGGCCCTGAGTGGAATGAGAGGGAGGAGAAGGAGCCAAGGGTGGTGGTCCTCTCCCATTGTGGAAAACAGAAATATGAAGAAGTGAATTCTGGGACTGGACCATTAGTTCCACAGTTCAGACGCCCCCCTCCCTTGACTACTTGGAATAAGCAGATGGTTGGAGAATAAGGGGTGTGGCTTCAGTTGTTGGAATAACTATGTTTTTCCCCCCCCTGGTTTGGCTGTTCAGATGGATTAACTTGTTCATTGAAAGGGATTGGGGGAAGCATCAACGTGGTTATCTAAATATTTTCCAACCTATATATGGTTTTCTTTTGTTGCTTTAAATAATTTTAGCCATGAAATGGGGGCATAAGCAAATACAACTCACTCCCATTTGTCAACATAGAAAATCAATGTAGAAGGAGAGGTTGTTATTTTTTTTTTTTATTTATTTGACAGAGATCACAAGCAGGCAGAGAAGCAGGTAGAGAGGGGGGGGGAAGCAGGCTCCCCGCTGAGCAGAGAGCCTGATGCGGGGCTCGATCCCAGGACCCTGAGATCATGACCTGAGCCGAAGGCAGAGGCTTTAACCCACTGAGCCACCCAGGTGCCCCGAGAGGTTGTTATTTGTATCATGTCTCTGTTATACTCTCCCCTCCTCAGACCATGTATGAAGATCATTTAATCATATGCTATGAATTCCAGGTGTGGATACATCAGAAAGAGGAAAGGGGCTGGACGAGTGGCTTACTTGGAGTCTGAAGTAATGGATTCTATGGCTAGGTGTAGATTTAGCAGGGAGTGCCATGATCAGTTAGTGATCTTTGCCATGGGTGAGGCATTGACGAGTTAACAGCCCGCATACCCTGTATCTGCCATGTATCCCTCACCTGCAGACTCTCTGGAAAAGGAGAGCCTCATTTAGCAGTGTTCAATGAGTGTCTATATGCATCAGACATTATGGTAAGCACTGAAGGACCAATAGTATATAAAACAGACATGATCTTCTCTTCGTGGGGCTTACAATAGAGGAAATGAGAGGCAATGCTATATACAGTATTGGCAAGAATTAAGGAAATCTGGCTAGAACAAGCAATGAATAAGGTGTTATAATTTGAATGGACAAAGAATTATAATATTTTTGCATCTTCCACATTTTTCTTACCAAAGTTTAATTACTATTTCCCCTGCCCTTATTCATTATTACTATTTTTGGAAGTCTAAAGGTTAACAAGGGTTAACTATTGGTTTAAACTACAAGGCAAAGACTAGAAGAAATCTTGGGTATTCAGGTAAGCATGCATTACAGTATTGAAATAGAAAGCAAATATTAAAAATTGGAAGAACTGCCCTGTTGTTTCTTGCCCTGCCAAGCTGACTAAAAGAACTCCTGCCTGGTGCCACTAAACTTTCTTGTATTCATTCCCCCTGAATGTCTGTGTCAAAAGTGTGGGATTTAAAAAAAAAATTATTAATAAAAGGGTAATGTTTTTTGAGGTGCCTGGGTGGTTCAGTGGGTTTAGCCTCTGCTTTTGGCTCAGGTCATGATCTCAGGGTCCTGGGATTGAGCCCCACAATCAGGCTGTCTGCTCAGCAGGGAGCCTGCTTCCTCCTCTCTCTCTCTCTCTCTGCCTGCCTCTCTGCCTACTTGTGATCTCTCTCTCTCTCTCTGTCAAATAAATAAATGAAATCTTTGAAAAAAAAAAGGAAATGTTTTCTATCAGGACTATTTATATTTTTGTTAGTAACCCATTCTATTTAGAGTACTATAGACTTTTCTTAAGCAAAATGCTCTATATTTCCTAGAGATGGGAGAAGCTATGCGGGCTTGTAATTAAAAATATTTAATAGATAAGCTAGTGAGTGAACATCCCTTAGAGTGCCTGGTCCAGAGCATAGTGTTAAATAAATGCTAACTGTGCCTGTGTGTATAGTCATGTGTCTCCACAATGGAAAACAAGCAGCACAAAGGGTATTAGATTTTCTTTCCTTCAATAATTCTAAAGAGAGAGATTGAACTTGTAGCTCTGGATAAGATGGAACTACAGGGACCAGATTTAATGTCTCAACTTAAATGACTATATAATGAGCAAAATGCATGCAACAATAGTTTGCATAACATCATACGTCTTCGTCTATTTGGGCTGCATATATATATGTATATGTAATATGTCTCATAGACTGGGTAGCTTATAAATAAAATGACACTGATTTCTCACAGTTCTCGAGGCTGGGAAGTCAGCGATCACAGTGCCAGCAGATTCAGTGTCTGGTGACAGTCCACTTCCTTGTTCATAGATGGTCATCTTTTCACACAGTAGAGGGGCAGGGATCCCTGGGGTCTCTTTTATAAGGGCATTAATCCCATTCACGAGGGATCCACCCTCATGACCTAATGATCTCCCAAAGACTCCAACTCTGAATACCTTTACCCTGGAAGTTAGGTTTTAACATATGAAATTTGGGGGAGGACAAACATTTAGTCTGTGGCTGTACATTAGGCAAGGACAGACAGTGACTCTTGAGAGAGAATAAAAGTGAGGTGAGCCCCATAATTGCCCTAGCTTATTGTTTTTTTTTTTTTAAGATTTTATTTATTTATTTATTTGACAGGAAGAGAGAGATCACAAGTAGGCAGAGAGGTAGGCAGAGGGGGAGGGGGAAGCAGGCTCCCTGCTGAGCAGAGAGCCCTATGAGGGGCTCAATCCCAGGACCCTTGGATCATGACCCACGCAGAAGGCAGAGGCTTTAACCCATTGAGCTCCACTAGCTTGTTTTAAGAAAGTTTCCATGCAGGAGTGGCTGGGTGGCTCAGTCAGTTAAGCGCCCACCTCTTGATTTCAGCTCAGGTCTTGATCTCAGGGTCACAAGTTCAAGCCCCTGGAACCTACTTAAAAAAAAAAAATTCCATGCAGAGAGAAAGTTTGTACAGGTGAAACTCAGTGGTCCCCCTGCCTTGAGAGATCAGAACTGGTTGTCCAGGGATTACAGCATCTATTCTGCTTAGGACAGAGTACAGGAGAGGGGAGTCCAAACCCAGGAGATAATTATGGGACTCCTAAACATGTACCACCAAATAAAAGAGCTACAAAATATGAAGCAAAAACTAATAGAACTAAAATAAATAAATACGATTGCATAATTTTAATCAGAAGCATAAACATCCCTTTCTCAAGAAATGATAGAACAGCCATAAGATATCCGCAAGGATAAAGAAGAACTCAGCACCAACCAACCAACAGGAAGTAGCGTAATAGAAAACACTCCAAAACAACACAATACACATTACTTTCAGGAGCCCATAGACCATATACTGAGATAGACCATGTCCTGGACATAAGATCACAAGAAAATCTTCCTAAACACTTGGGGAAACTAAATAATGAATTAGATAATCCATGTGTCAAAGAAAAAGTCTCAAGATAAATTTAAAAATTACATTAACTTACTGAAAATAAACATACAAATCTATCAAAACTTGTGAGATATAGCTAAAGCAGTGCCAAGGGGGAAATGTACAGCATTGAATGCTTTCCATAAAAAAGAGAGAAGTCTAAAATTAGTAATACACACTTCCACTTCAAAGAAATAGAGAAAGGACAACTAAATAAATCCAAAGCAAGCAGAAGGCAGGAAATAATCAAGATTGGAGCAAGAGCAAACCTCTGCAAGAGTGACAGGAAAAAAAAAAAAAGGCAATAATGACCAATATCAGAAATGAAAGAAGGTATCACTATAGACACTGCAAATGTTAAAAAGGATAATAAAGGAATATTATGAATAGCTCTGCACACATAAATTTGACAGCTTAGATGAAATAGATCAATTCGTTGGAAAATGCAAACTACCGCAATTCACCCCATATAAAAGAGATGTAACTATTAAAGAGATTTAATTCATAATTTTAAAACTCTCCCAGAAAGAAACTGCAGGTCCAAATGGCTCTGCTGGAGAATTCTACCAGTGTTTAAAGAACAATTAATACCAATTCTGCACAGCATCTTCCAGAAAATAGAAAAGGGTGGGCCATAACCCAATTTATTTTATGAAACCATTATACTCTGACCTCAAAACCAGACAAAGACAGTACAGAAAGGGGGAAAAAAAAACAAAACCCCACAACTACAGACTAAAATCCCTCATGAATATAGATATAACATACTTAACAAAATATTTGCAGGTAGAATTCAGCAATATATAAGACAATTATAAACCATGACCTAGCGGGGACTCTTTCATGGATGCAACAGTGTTTCAATATTCAAAAATCAATCAGTTTAATCCACCATATTCATAGGTTAAGGGAAAAAAAAAAGTGTGATCATGTTAGTACAGAGAAAACATTTGACAAAATTGAATACCCACCCAGGGCATTTCCTTGAATTGATAACATATGCAAAAAACCTTCAACTAATATCATGCTTAAGGGTGAAAGACTAATTTC